CCCCCCGTATTGTCCCGTCAGCGAAAATCGCACCTCATCGCCGTCCGTCCCCAAACTGTCGTTTTCGGTCCGGGGATCGGGCCGATCACGAGCGCCATCATCGGCGTTGGGTCGATCTTCACCAGTAGGCTTTTCTACATCCATCGGGGCCCTGGTGGCAGACCCCGAATCGACAGAAACTGTTTGGCCATAATTTCGCTTCATTTCAGCAGATGATATGAAAAGGCAAATTAATAAATATAATTTTTTTAAATTATTAATTTGCCTTTTCATATCATCTGCTGGCATGAAGTGTTTTAAATATATTTTCATATTTTTCGTCCATAAATAACGTTTATATCATAAGAAAAATGCATTTCTATAAAAATTATTTTTTAATTTCATATTAATACCTTAAAATATTATTTTAATATTAAATTGAGTAAAATATTCTTATTCTACGTTAAATTCCACATTGATTTCATATATCACATGTTGGAATTATTTTCCGAAAATATTCTCTATAAAAGTGGTCACTGCGGCCGAACCCGAGGTCACAGGACAATATAAGTTACATATTCGGACTCAGGGTTAAAAGGCCTATGGGAATCAATCATAATATCCCGGTTGCCAGCTTAGGCAACTTAACATACACTTTCGACATTATTCTTTACTTTAAATCATAGCAATCCTTAATAAATTGTGAGCACTTGTAGCCAACGGTTATAGATGCGGACGCTGTGTTAGAATTGGGAACCATTGGAAACACAGAGGCGTCGCATACCCTGAGGTTCTTCGCGTACTTAACCCTCAACTGGGGGTCGACCACAACATCGGGTCTGTCTATTGAGCCCATACGACAACTGCCGGACACGTGATAAGTCGTGACTGAGTTATACTTTATCCAACACATCAACCCCTCTGTGCACTCGTGAATATACCTCCCGGTGAACACCGGACAGCCATAGTCCGATAATTTGGGTAAAATAACATATTGAGCCATTATTGTCTTTTCAAATATATAAAATATGAGCCTGGCAGCGTCTAAAATACTTTCAACATCATCCGGGTCGGTCAAAAAGTTTGGGCGCAATAGTGGGTAAACCCTCGGATTGGTTGACTGTAGACGTACTGTTCCACGACTTTTGACCCGGACCATATTAGGTGTGGTCCATAATGTGCCATTGAATGTATGATAAAATAGATTTACATTTGGGAAATGCTTATCTTGGTTATTTTTTGTGCTGTAAATTAAAGCTGCGAATGGACGTTGTGCGAGTACACCACCTTGCTCGTAGTATAATTGGCTCAATTGTTTTATGTTTATCTGTGCCAGTTCATTTGTGAGATACAAGTACTCGGGTCTAATCTTAGGATTTAATTGTAAACTGGGATGATTTACATAATTGTCACCAACCGGTAGATCTAGTAATACTGGTATACCAAGACTTTGTAAGTGGTATTTGGGACTGATTCCTGATAGCATTAGTAATTGTGGGCTATTTATGGCACCTAAAAGTAGATGAAATAGTAATTAAAAATCTAATAAAATATTTTTGAGTAATAATTACCGCCGGAAACGATAACCTCTTTGTTAGCGTAAACTCTATACTCGATATCATTCCTAATAAACTCCACTCCAATAGCTGTCAACCCATTGAATAGTATT